AACAATAATCCAACACTGACAAACAACATTTAAATGGTAGAGCTAAAACAAAGAGCTATGATTGAGTTCTATTTGTGTTGAGAAAAAACTGTTTTCAAAGATGATAAACCACTGGATGACAAAGGATGATAAAAAGATGATAAACCACTGGATGACAAAGCAGGAACCAGCCAATCAGCTGATTCACTGATCCACATAGGAGTTTGTGTTCAACCCCTTGTTTTTCAAATCCTACAATAAAACAGCCACTGATCCACATAGGATTTTGTGTGCAACCCCTAGAGGTTACATGGAGGTACTCCGGGGCGAGAGGGGTTGTGAAATACTATGTTGATTAAACAGTCATTTATTCCTACTAACTGTTGCACATGTTTAAATAAAAATGTATAAATATTAACCTCTCTGTGAAAAAAGTTACATTTTAACACGGCACTAGTTTGACATGAGATTTTATACAGTATATTATAACTCTAAATCCGAGTGCATGATGAATTGGTCATAAATAAATAATATTTTGTCTCTACAGGAATATAGTTTGGGGGAAAATGAGGACATTTGTTTTTCAAATCCTACAATAAAACAGCCAATAGGAAACAGTCTCAGGCTCCAAAAGTCACATGACAACCCTCCATAAGTCAAGTCATTGATTTGCAACCGGACGCTGAAATCCTTTTGCCACATATGGCGTATGATGTTGACCAAAGCAAAGTCGCTTAGACTCAAGATCAAGAACCCTGTCAGTGAAAAACATGACCAATCAGAGTACAAAAGATCAGCACACACACACACACACACACACACTTGATCACTAACCAGCCCTCCCGTGTTTGAGCCGTGGCGGCAGCAGTGGAGTCTGTGTGTTGGTCCACTCAGGCTGTGAAGTCAGGAGGGAACAAAAATGATCTGAATCAGTAGGATGTCAATTAAAAAAGATGAAACAGCGCCCCCACAGAGGACCAGTGTACGAGGGGAAGGTTTCCCATTCAGGCGTCAACATGTCACATGAGGTGAGACTGTGGGACTGTCGGCCTCCCGTCCCATCCATGTCCACCTCTGCCTCCTGACAATGGAGACCATGTGACCACCTCATCCACCAAAAACAGAGCCGCAGCTGAAAGAAAACCTCAAAGTTCAACGTATTTATCGAGACAAATTCGGAGCAGGAAGGGAAATATTTGGTTTGCTAAGCAGCGGACGCTCGGCAGTGTTGGAGCAGTCCACGCTTGAAGTAGGGGGGAACAGCCAGCCCTTTGTGTGCGGACAGAATGGTGCACTCCGAGGGGTCACTGCAGGAGGCCCGACATCACATACACAAGAACACGTATACACACATTCTCACTCTTTCACACACATCAATGCGCACACACACACACACACAGAGAAACCATAACATTCCTTTGCTTCTATGAATGTTTTATTAACCATGTGAATGGGTCACAGAGTTACAGCCCCGACACAGCTCTAGTCTCCATAGCCACACACACAAAAATCCACAACTGCTCCAAACGGAGGAAAATTCATGTGACAGCAGTTCTTTTTTTTTTTTGAAAGCCAGACCACAACAAACACACATCCTCAGTCGTGGCCTGTTGACTTGTATCAATATTACTGCAAATCAATGATGTTTAATGACAAGAATCTGGGGATACAATACATATCGCAATACAATGGCAACGATACAATATATTGCGATTTAAATTTTTTTAATTGTACTGTAGAAAAACACAAACAATGCCATCACTCGATACAATATATTGCGATTTAAAATTTTTTTATTGTATTGTAGAAAAACACAAACAATGCCATCACAGGCCTAACGTCAGGTCAAGGGATTTACTTTAGTGATGACCAGAGAAGAAATAAAAGCAAAATAAAATGAACCGACGCCATCAATCTCAGCATGTGGACTGTTTGCTAAAAAAAAGAAAATCGATACAGTGCTGTAGAATGTTGATAGAGTATCAGGAAATGGTAGATCCACAATCTTAATATAGATTGCTATAGTTGCTAGTTATCCTGCTATTCAAGCAAAAATCCCAGAATCCATCGTGTGTGACCTCGTCACACTTCCTCTGTCTCTGTTTTTGAATTCTAATTCGCTCATCTATGTCTGAATCTGCTTATATTCAACATATAGGATAAATAAAAATGTGTTGTCACATTATTGTTGATGCACATGCAATATCATACAAGATGCTTAACATTATTTGACAGGGTTTTACCAGGTTTAAACTGGTTCAATCATTACAGTGTTTACACTTTGTACCAATTGTTCAGAATAGAATAATTGAGCTGTGAGGTCATGAAAAGGTCAGCTCCTCTCCACTGGATGATAACCGCCCAAAACTGAATCCATACTGAGTTCTTACTCCACAGGTTCTTACTCAACACCAGTGAAAAGGCAAAGGTGTCAAACCAGGAGCATTTCCAGAACCAGCTATCAGTGGTTGCACCACACAGGAACAAACACACAGGGGTCAGGTTAATTCCTCACACTCTTCCATTTCCCCACAGAGAGGAGAACACAACTCCTGTTTGGTTTGGACGGCCTGACCAGCGGACCTCCGTGTTGAACAAACTGTAGCACAGTGTGGTCCTGTAACACGGCCTGAGCGGTTAAACACAGCACAACACGGGGGTTTCACAGTTCACTGCTGCAGCAGCGGGGATCGATGGGACTCGATGAGTCCCACTCACACAGGATTAAACAATGGCTCCGTTCCTGCGGAGACAGTTGGGCAACAGTTTATCCTACATATCACCTTTCACGTCACGCAGTCACTCGTGAGGCGTCGATTGCGCAACAAACCCCACCAAAGGTCAAACGGCATCAAAGGTCAGGTGAAAACACCTCGGTGTCTCTTTGATTTGTGGAGCACCGATGCCCTGCTTCCTGCCGTGGTGGCTGTCGTTTCCTTTATCCCTTTTCATCTTCTCTCGGACGCAGCCACGTTGGAGTCTTAACCGAGGGAGTGGCGTTACCGTGGATAATGTCCATCATTAATCTGACGCTGCCCCACATATTCAGGGTTTGAGCCAAAGCCATTTCATGTTAACATCCTAATGCTGCGCCGCCCCTCCCCCCAACACTAGTTATTAGGACCCTGACGTCCTGGTTTCAGATATCACTCAGGACGTTAACTTCCTCTCCACGCTTTAACCACGTGTTCTGTTGGGGTTTTTGTTGGGGGGGGTGGGGATGTACAGTGTAAACATTTAAATAATTCATGAATCATTGAAGCCACAAAAGCAGTTAAACATAAAGAACCAATGGGGCGATCCCATGATGTTATCACAACAAAATGTCCCCTCCCCCAAGTTAATAACAGACAATTTTTTTATTTTTTTTTAGGGGGGTTAGTACTTCAAAAAACAAGTGCGTTTTCTCCCAGTATCTGTACATGACGGTGGTGGCGTTGATTTACACAGTGGTCAGTCCAAAATGCCACACAAAAGTTGTAGTATTTCTCGTGGTACTATTCAAAGATGACACGTACTTCGTGTGTACATCCACACAAATAACCAAAGAATCGACGTTGGCGCAGTGACAGAGTGTAGATGGACGTGCTCTGGGAACAGGCTGAGACAAAACCATAGAGGATGCTATTTCAGCCAACTCTGTCATAATGCCCCCCCTCCTTCCCATGGTTTCCCATACACACACACACACACACACACACAAACCATAAACATACATAGAGACACACACAGATTTAAGACCTGTCGCTGGTGTGGAACACAGTGAAAAGGAGTATCCTGTGGGGGCCTCGGGGGCCAGAAATGTACTAAGTAGCTCTGTATGTGCTCCTGCATGTGTGTGTGTGGGTGTGTGTGTGTGTGTGTGTGTAGAGAGAGAAGTGGAAGAGTGTGTGACCCGAGAGGCCCGGCTAGTTATAGCCTCTCTGTTGGAGACTAGCACTTCCACAAAACAAGCATTGTTGGTGCAGAGCTCCAGACATCAGACACACACACACACACACACATTGGAAACAACTCATATGCACATACATACAAAAAACATACACACACACACACACACCAGAGACCATAAACTGTGCAGCGTTGGAGCCCCAGCAGAGAAGAGGCTGTGAACGAAGTCTCATCTCACTGACATGAAACACTGCTGAACAAACGCTGTGTCGTGAACGTTAGCTTAAGAGAGAGAGAGAGAGACCGTGATGCTAACGTTAGCTTTAGAGAGAGAGAGCGAGAGAGAGAGAGAGAGAGAGAGAACATCTCCAGGCACTGGAAATAAAGTAGTAAATTAAAAACTGTAAAGATTTGCTGTTTAATTTTATGGGGTTGTTTTAGGTACAGTATGCAGAATTTTGGACCTGTTTCACAAACAAAAAGCTCCTGCAGAATACTATTATAACTAGTCAGTCAGAAATCTAGTCATATCTGAGGCAACTCACCACACTATGATTTAAAAAATAAAAATATGCACATTTTCACTCAAAACATTTACTATTATGTAGCCATTCAAAAAAAAAAACATTTTGGGCTACAGTACTACAATTGGCCAGCAGAGGCTGGCCCCAAAAAAACAGCAGCACCCTTGGACATGTTTTTCTTAAACTAATAAACCTCTTTATTCAGGTATGAATCACTAGATTTCAGCCATTTTATCACTGTTCTACACCAATACCACAGAACAGTTCATCTTCATTTCTTAAGTTAACCTCCGACCCCTCTAGCTACAACATACGTGTAAAAAAAGCTCCAAAAATGGCAGCACGATGACGAGTCTCTTCTTGTGAGGTGATTCTTAGCAGCTGGTATTACCTTATAAAAACAGGCACAGTAAAGGATCTGTACTGACAACCACACCACCATACACTCCTAGTGGCCCCTAAGATTACTTTGGTCTGAATCCATCTTATCATTACAGGATAATTAATCATCAACGTGTGTCTACAGTAAAAAAAATGTCCATAAAATCTACTCATTCATCACGATCACCTACATCAACCATCATCAGAGGAGGAGGAGGAGGGAGGAGATAGGGGAGGAGGTCAGCTCCATGACCTAAACTTTTGCCTCCACAGAGACCTCGTTGGCTGACAGGGGGTGTGCGTCAGCCCCCATCACTGCTCCTCCACAACCCTGCTCAAGCCTGTGGCGGCCTCACAGACTCAGAGGAGTGTGAGAAGGAGCAGCTGAAACTGCTGCTCGGACTGACTCACTGCAGCATCCACGGGTGACACGGCTCAGTGAGCACCGACCACGCACGACCACAGGACACTTGGAACATTTACGCACAGTTTACGGTGCGCCGTTTGGACAGTGTTATTATTATTATTATTATTATTGGACATTTTATTTTTTTCCACAGACTTTTTGTCTTAAGTGTTTGTTCCACTATGATGCTCACCCACCTGTGTCTGCTCACGTTGAGCTTCTTCTTCGGTGCTGCGTCGGTTAAAGTCAGCGCGCAGGACCGACACCTCCAGCCACTGGATGAAGACCTGGACCAGGACATGGTCTCCCAGCACATGGCCAAACTGTACGAGAAATACAACAACAGGGAGAATCGGCTCAGAGAGGGGAACACTGTCAGGAGTGTCAAAGCCATTCAAGGTGTGTGACCAACGTGACCGTTAATGACACAACAGTGGATTGGTTTAACAACCACAGTAGAATGTTTAGTGTTTAAATGCAGAGCTAACGATAGAACACAGTTTCCCTGTGTTGACCAGTAAAACTTTGGGGGAAGCGTGACTGGCGTGTCCTGACAGCGTCCTTATCTCCTCCGTGGATGAGGATTTAGGAGATAAGGACGCTTAGTTCGAGCTGCTCGGCTCCGACAGATGCTCTAAATAGAGAGGATTGTTTTGGAACAGTCTGAGAATGCTTTTAAATGATTTTGGAACGCTCGCTGTGTCTGTGTCTGCGGCAGCAGCTGCCTCTGGCCAGTGTCACCACAGGCTGACGCGCGCCGTGCGCACGGAAGCGCGAGATTCGCTGAGAGCGCGGAGCGCACGGCTCCGCACCGGCGGCGATTGCGCACAGGGCCGCGGCTCCCGTGTTCCTGTTATGGCTACGGGACATGTGTGACTGTGCGTCCTGGAGTCAGGGGGCTTACAGCGGTGGTCGTTCCTCCCTGTCAGAGGCTGTTTGTATAAACACAACACACGCAGACGTTCATATCCACCTACTGCTCGGATTCCATACGATAACACGCGTGTATTTTTACAGTAGTGGCAGAGTGTAACACAAGGAGAGATGTGAGAGAGTTTTCACAACAATGTAAGATCTGTTAAAACAGTCGATTATGGCCCGGTGTCTGGGCAGACACTGTCGGCTGTATTAGCCCTAAAGAGAAACCGGGGTAAGCATTTCCATATGCAGGCAGAATCCGAGGTAATGTATATCTCTTGGGTCAGTTCATACTTCCGCTGAACTCGCACACAATGAACAATAACTCCGCTGTTGAACTTAACGTCCATCATGAATATGCAGCTCTCTGCTCGACCACCAGCCACAGCGGCTCCCAGGTCCCCAGGGTCTGGTTCCCTGATGGGGCACCTACAGCAAATCTACAGAGCCTCACTCCAAACACACACACACACACACAACTCTATCATTCAACAAACATTCTTCCTCCAACTGAATTAATGTATTTTGGTCTGGCATTGTTTTAAAATAAAACATAGAATCGTGCAAAAGTCTTTTAAAAGGCCAAAGGGCAGTGACCTCTTGCGGTGACACGACCCCATGTTTATATTTAGACATTTTCCATTCTTCAGCATTATAAGATTATACTACACAGGCAGATAGATTGATATGACGTCAGAGATTTTTATGTGATCCTGGGTGATGGGAATAAGGCTTAAAAAATTAGCTCATGCTTGGAGATGACCAACTCTTAGAAGATAACAGATCTTTTATCTAATTATAGTAAATGTCATGTTAGGATTATTTAGACCATTAGGTTTAGTTTAGTTATTATCAATTGCAATATAGTAAATGTCATGTTAGGTTTAGTTTAGTTATTATCAATTGTTGCTGTGGTTTTGTCCATGTTATAGGATGTGATTTATGGGAAGTGATAATGTTGCACCAGAACACTCACAAAACAGGACATTTACTCGGTATAACACCCCCTGCAGGAGAGGGCAGGAACTAGCTGCATGCATTCAATAAACAGCAAAAATCTGTAACACCGGACTTTGAATTTAAAATCTTTAAATACACAGAGATTTCTGTTGTTCATCCGACCAACTGACCCCGACTGATTGTCTTCACAGCCTCTGCTGACCACAGGACGGTGTATCGGCTGAACCTGACAGCCCTGCAGGATTCAGAGGCCGTCCTCTCCGCCACATTCCACTTCCTGCTGGAACGGCGCCCCCGTCAAAAACCCTGGTTCTGCAAGCGCTTCAAGAGTCCATCCTGTCGCTCCTTGGGCGTCCAGCCTTCCATCAGCCTACTCTTTCGCTCTGTCTCCTCTGGGTCAGAGGTCAGTACGGGGTCAACGGGGTCACTTTTAGGCAACGTGACCTTTCATCCCCACAGGAGAGGGGTGTGGCAGATGAAAGATGTGACCCAGGTCATAAAGGAGGCCTGGGATAAGGGTCAACGCCTGCTGTCAGTGGAGCTGGACCTGGGCCAGCAAAACCAGAGGAAACCAGAGGAGGCGCTGTCTGTCGGGAACCCGCCTTACCTGTTGCTTCATGCTGACGACCAGGCATTGGCCGAGCCAAACAGTGTGGCTGCGAGCCTTCAGAGGTACGACCCCTTCGCTGAAGCAGGGGAGGAATCTTCTCAGACACTGCACAGGCCAAACTCCTCATCACAGTCCAAAGAACGTGTGAGGAGGGAAGCAGCTCTGCCCTTTGACCTCATCCAGAACAATGAGCTGCCTGAGGTTGAGTACAAGCCTGATGGATTCAGGAAAGATGACCTTTGGGAGAGCACCTGGTACCTTAAACCCAAGAGTAAAGAAAGAGTGGGGAAGAAGGAGGAGAAGAGGAAGAGCCACGAGGACAAAGCAGCCAAAGATATCAGAGAAAAACAGGAGGGAAGTGAACCTCGGGTTCTAGAGCAAGGGGAAAGAACGACACATGGAGTTATCAAAAAACATGACCAAGAGGGTCGAACACAGACTGTGAGTGACGGACGGAAACATGAGCGCAGGAACGAGGGAAAGGATGTGAAAAAGCCCCGGGGTCACTCCAACGCCCAGTCACCTGTCCTGAGTTTTGATGAGCAGACAATGCGCAACGCCAGGAGGAAACAGTGGAGCACCGGCCAGAACAGAGGCTGCTCCAGGAGGAACCTCAGAGTGGACTTTGCAGATATAGGCTGGAGCGAGTGGGTCATTGCACCCAAAGCTTTCGAGGCCTATTACTGCGCAGGGACGTGTGAGTTTCCTATGCCCAAGGTAAGAACACAAGACTTCAGTTTCCATCCCAACATGAGTCGTTGGTGTTTTTGTCTGTGTTTTTTTTTTCCCCTGAGTCTCTCCATCGTGTCTTTGTCTTTTCTCCCAGGTGTCAAGACCATCGAACCACGCCACCATCCAGAGTACCCTGAGTGTCTCCATCGTGTCTTCGTCTTTTCTCCCAGATGTCAAGGCCATCGAACCACGCCACCATCCAGAGTATAGTGCGAGCAGTTGGGATCATCCCTGGGGTTCCCGAGCCCTGCTGTGTCCCAGAAAAGATGAGTCCCCTGGCCGTGCTGTACCGGGATGAAGCCAGCGACCTCGTACTGAAGGTTTATCCCAACATGTCCATTCAGTCCTGCTCCTGCAGGTAGGAAGGAGGCGAACGGAGGACGAGGAGAGGAGAGGAGAGGAACCGACAAACAGGACTCCTGGAGACAGAACCATGCATCTGCTTGTTGGGTGGTTTCTCCATCCTGAGAAACAATGTCACTTTGGCCGTCATTATTCCTGGAGGAACGTAGGCAGCAGAGAAATCACTTCCATCTCGTTTGTCCCCGCGGCTGCACACTCACAGAGACACATTGTCTGGTTTGCGCTTCAGAGAGAGAGAGGGGGAACAGAGACACACGTGTTAAGTCAGGGCCCGGCGTGCCTCCGAAAACCTAGTTGTTTTGATTCAGTGTTTGAGATGTTACTGTGGATCCATGGACAGGAGCCTCTCTTTTATCTCAGAATGTAAACCCAGTGAGTTTGTGCTGGTGTTTTCTTTGGACGCCCAGCTCACTGATGCAGGACTTCATCAGGTGGCGGACGCCGCAGCACAGACATGGGACATTTTCACATGCTGCGTCCAGCTGTTTTTTTTAACTTGGAAGCTAGCCGAACGCCACAGAGTACATGCATGCAGTGTTGGTTTGTTTTCAAGACGGGAAGGTTATTGTACATTCTTGCTCACGAGGAAGCGTCCAGCGTTCTGCAGCGAGCATCTGGAACTCATTAACACTCAAGAAGGATCAAACCAGGAAAATAAAATATATATATATATTTCTATAGTGAATGTTAATAAAATGTGTTGTCAGCCATAGTGTCTGTATTATTATATTTTAGATGTTGTACATGTGTATTTTTTTAAATTATGAAAAAGGTAGACTTCTGTACGTTAGAATAAAAAATAACTTAATCCATTGTTTTGCTGTATTATTATTTTATTTTTAACTGTGGTTAATTCAACTTTTTTTTCTCAATATGACTTCAAATGAAGGCAGGAAGGATCCACTTCAGCTCAGGTGACCTCAGCATCACCTCGCACCAAAGGCTCCGACCTTAGTCGTCCAGAAAAACGATGTGACTGATGCGGTCTCTGTGCATTAATGGCTGACGGAAAAATCCGACACGCAGCTATTAGGACGTCAGCCACTTCAACTTCAAAACCTAACGCACTTCCCCTTTTGTAACCATCTGCCTTCTCCCCTAAAGCATCAGACTTCTAAGTGCAGGATGTTCTCCAAAGCTTAAACAGACACCAGACTACAGCTACAGATGAATGACCTTCAGCACTTCACATCAACCCGCTGTGTTTTTCAGGAAGCTCCATGAGCCGCCTGGACAGCGTGTCACGCTGACGTTTAAAGTGACAGAAGGAACCTTATGATTATTAATCCATTCTTCTGTGGTTTTTTTTTTTTTTGCCCTGAGCATACACCGAGCTCCACATCTGTTTGCAACAACGGCACGACTTTGAAGTTTCCTAAAGTGGACAGTAGTTTCGTCGAACATTCAGCCACTGAGTCACAGAAACCGACAGTTTTAAACCCTGTGGGTTCCAGTCATTCGACTGTTGTTACGTCTTTTGGAACAAACACCCTTCTAAGGTTCGGCGTTGTTTCTATTTTTCACTTCAATGGGTTTTAAAGCTCTGACTTGTGGTAAAGATCACAGGAGGGAAAATAAAATAAAAGGCCTTTTAACAAACAAAGCAGAACCAGATCTGTGCAGAATATTATAGGATTATATACAGTGCAGTTAATGCACGGTGGTAAATTCCGGGTTTTTACTCGGCTTCTGACACTGACAAGGATTTTCTGATTTATTTTTACAAGTTCTGGTTTCTAAAGCCATAATCCAACTTGATTTCTACTTTTATAGGACAATAAAAAAACCATGAAAAGTCCTACAGATGTTGGGGTGTGCTGTTAATTAAATACAACATTCCAACCACATGTCCTGTTATTTAAATTCAAGTGTAAAAACAGTCATCAACACTGAGTACTGCAATTTGTAAATGTCAAATTGCAGTACTCAGTGTGTACAGTGTGTATTGTCCTGGACAATGAG